CGAGCTTTCTACACTAAATCGTCATGCTTTGAACAAAGTCGAAACCTTTACTAGATAAACACGCATCGAATCCTAACACACAAAAGCAAGTAATGAAAATAAAGCAAAGGCCAAGAATCGAGCATCAACACAAAAACTGAAAAAGAAACTCGAAGTAAGCCCTAAGCAAGGTGCTTACTCTCCTATCGTATGCGTAGACGAAAATAGTGCGTAAATTTTGAATCTTGAATAAAAGTAAAGTCGTCGGAATTCCACCTGAAAAGTAGATCCATGGATCTCCATCCAAGGCATAAAAAAAAATAAGAGAGAGAAATTAGAGAGGATTTCCCTACTAAAAGTTGGGAAAATGAGGGGAGATATCTCAAAAGACAAAGCACAATGTCCATTTATATCTACAGTAGACGAAAATAGTGCGTAAAGTTTGAATCTTGAATAAAAGTAAAGTCGTCGGAATTCCACCTGAAAAGTAGATCCATGGATCTCCATCCAAGGCATAAAAAAAATAAGAGAGAGAAAGTAAAGAGGATTTCCCAACTTAAAAGTTGGGAAAATGAGGGGAGATATCTCAAAATGCAAAGCACAATGTCCATTTATATCTACACCATAAACACACACTAAAAACACACATATTTAATGAAATTCTGAAGTTCACGGGTCCCGAAACGGAGTTCGCAGCGAGTTTGGGCATGGAGTAGCGCAGAACAGCTGTTAGCGAGTCGCCAAACGATGTTCGCTGCGAGTTGGGGCTTGGGTGCTGCAGATGGGCATTTCGCGGCTCGCCAATGTTGGGTTTGCTGGCGAGTACGCGCTATGGGATGCTGAGGGGTGCGTTTCGCGGCTCGCCAAGTCTTATTCGCTGGCGAGTGCACGGATGAAGGCAGAGGGGTTTCGCGGCTCGCCAAGTCTCGTTCGCTGGCGAGTGCACGGATGAAGGCTGATGTGTTTCGCTGCTTGCCAAAGCTCTTTCGCAGCGAGTGTAGGGCATCAAGCTTCCCCTTGTGCGCACGGCCATCTCGCGGGGCGCCAAAATGTATCTGCTGCGAGTGCTTGGGTTGGTGATTTGTCTCGAAATTGACCCGGGATGGCTCGAGTAGTTCGTAAATGATCCGGATGGCTCGACAATAGCACGAAAGTGGCACATCTTCCCAAAAATTGTAAATTGTACCTAACAACACACCAAAAGAGACGCGAAAATATGACAAAATAAAAAAAACACATAATAAAAATGAAAATACGTAAAACACGACAAAATGGACCTGTTGACACTAAATTGAACCTAAAAACGACTCGATTAGGTCACATAAAACACAAAAAATAAGCACAAAAACATAACAAACAACTCCCCCACACTTAACTCTTTGCTTGTCCTCAAGCAAACAAAAAAACAAGTAGCTCAAAAAGAAAAATTGAGAAGTCCAAAATTAACGAGCATGCGAAATGAAGCTCTCATCTTCATCCGGGTGTCCATAAAATCTAAATCCAATCCGAAAACACGTTCCCCACATACTGAATCCATACAAAACAAAAACCCGTCCCAATTCATTCTACTCATGATTACTCAAGACAAACTCCCTCGTCCATATACACGTGCAAAAACTACAAATGGTCCACTAAACATGTAACATACGATAAACATGAACCAATAAGCCAACTCCCATTCTTTTTCATTTTTTTCTCTTTTTTTTTTTAAATTTATATTCTTTTCAATGAGCTTCTTTTCCCAAACGATAGTCGTTTGGACGATTATTACATAGGTTTAACCTCGGGGTTTTCCCCCGAGTCTCCTAGGCCGTTTCCCCGTACTCATTAACCCGGTTTATCTATAAGACTAACAGAGCCAAGAGGAGCCTAATCCTTTCAACTCTTACGAACTCATTTTTGTGAGCTTATTTTTCCAAACGAGATTTCCGGACAAGATTATCTAGGTTTAACCTCGAGGGGTTTCTTCGAGTTTCCTAGACCGGTTTCCTGGGCTCATTATCCCATTCCACAAAATGGCTCGGGATAAGAGGAGTCTAATCCATACTTGCTCGCAAACTCACATTTTATTTCTCATTTTTTTTTCGAAGGGAGTGGAACACAAGTATACATCACAAATACATTATCGTGAACATCACAACTCAATCAAAACGTACCACAAGTGTATAGATAACACGTTTACAACGACAATAGAACATAAGGTAAAAATGCCTCAAAATAATAAATCGAGAACAAACAAGAGACAAAACAATTCTGTAAATTCACATGCGGGTTCCAATGTCAGCGAACTATCAATCAATTATAGGACACCGTCCAATTCATCAAGTACATAAAGCATGAACGTTAATAGTGAAACCAATCAACAATCTCGACTCACCACTTAGCTATTTCGACTATCGAACAAACATCAAGCTTCATGCGGCAGAGGTGACTCAAACACACAAAATCTCAA